TCATTCATTCTTCTGGATTTCAGGGTCCATCCACATTCCTAAAGCTAATACAATAAAATAACACAGGGCAGAAGTAATGCTGGGGCCTTGCAGCAAAGCAGATTGACTTCAACACCCATGTTGCTTGCCCCCGCTGTATAACCTTTGGCATGTACCTTGCATTCTCAACCCCCAGTTTCTTCATCAATAAAATAAGGATAATGAATACCATACTCATGGCGCTCCTCCGAATACAAACAAAGCAGTGTATGTAAAATGCACAGTGTCTGCCACATAGTGTCAGCTTGGCTAAGAGTGGTGCTTTCAATTATGCTCAGTATATACCCAGAAGTGGAATTGCTGGATTGTATGGTAGTTCTATTTGTCATTTTCTGAGGAACCCCCAATTGCTATTCAAGTGGCTGCACCATGTTACTTTCCCACCATCAAATTGCAAGAATTCCAGTCTCTTAATATCCTCACCAATGATTGTTATTTTCTGTTTTGTTTCTGTTAGTCACCATCCTAATGGGTGTGAGGTAATATCTCACTGTGATTCTAATTTGCATTTCCCTAATGAATAGTGATAGTGAGCATCTTTTCATATGACGTTGGTGCAAAATGACTTTACATACCAATATTCCTTCATCTGACTTAAGTAGCAATATTCTTTCATCTGAGAAGATGAAAAGTTCTCTCACACATAAAAACATCGAGAGAAACCCTGATATACTTTAGTAAGGTACAATGCTGTTAAACATGACATTCTGCTATGGCTTCTCAGTCAAGAACATTACTTTGAAAACCCTAATACTGGTTAATCTTTCATCCTCTGTTCTAACTCATAGATTAAATCTTCTTATCTCTAAAATTCTGTCAAATAGCTGTAAGCTTCTATTCTTCGAAGGTTTTATTACAAGACACCAGAAAAGTATATATTTTCCCTCTCTCACGAGATGGGAACAAGAGATAAACATCCTGTCCTGAGGAAAGTGATGTTACCCAGAAACTATAGTAAGGTATTTCTCTTATCAAGGTATCTGAGGTTTCTGTAATGTCATAACTTTGTTTACTCAACAGTATTTACTGAATACTTACTTGGCATTAGGCACTGAAATCCAGAAGATAAAATGGGACAGTTTCTGACCAAAAAATAAAAATAAAAAACTCACAGTCTAGCAGAAAGAGCAAACAAGAAGGTCGGCAAGTTTAACACGAAGCAAATGACACGTTGACATTGAGATCAGTTCACCAAAGCAAGGTCTTATGGGAGGATGGAGAGAAATAATGAGCTGGAACCCAGAACATAACATGGGAGGTGTTGTAAAATATGTGGTGGAATGAAGTGGTTAACAAGGGCACCTTGGAAGTATTTTAAGATATCAGACATGATCGAAGTTTTTCTATGTACTTTCAAGTTCATTCTGTTGCTCTTGTCCTTCCATTTTTAATTAATTGATAATTTTAGTTCACCCACTTATATTTGAATAAGTTGCTTGAATGGATCAATGTTGTAAAAATGTAAATACTTTACTAGTTACTGCTTGAATTTTACACAAGTACACACAAATGGTGGTGCGTTAGCTGACTGGTTTTATGACCAGGATCTTACAAGGGTATTCTTCATATAATTTATTTTGCACTAAATTTGTATTTCATTTTTACACTGAAGGAAGAAAATGTATAGTTTGTAAAACAGTTTCATGTCATGTTAAAAGTTTCAAGATGTTCTTTTATTCATTTTTATTTTACTTCTAATATATCGATTTCCTTGCAAACTTACATTCTCACATTTATTTAATTCAAAAACATTGATTAGAAGTGTTGATATGGAGAAGGAGTCTCTTTAATATTTGAGTTCATGGCTTGACCTTTCTAAATAAGCAGCAAAGGTGAAGGTGAGCCTTCAGGTATTTGTGAGTTAAGAAATGCCTGGGTGAAATAGTCCAGGTCCGGCAGCAATCGAATGGAATTAACATCAAATAATTTCAGATTTGACGTTGTCTCATAAGATCATTGAGTGTAGTTCTGTCATTTTGCACTGAGACTCACAGAACTCATGTAATATGACCAAGGAAATACAATTAGAGTAACAAATTGCAGTGTAACCAGAAACTCTAAAAAGTGATTCACTCAGTCTAAGTGAGTTAGTTACAAGAACTGATAAAATCTGTGGCTTCTTTGGGAGACTTTGAAAGTTTATGATTTTTAAAAAATACGTATTAAGCACTTGTATGATTCTACTTTCATTTTTGGCATATGTAGTTTGCTTTCCACTATACTAAATGAATTTAAAGGAGAAAATCACACTCATCTGGATTTTTTTTTTTTTTAATTGAAGGGCTTACATAAACTGAAATGCATGCAATGAGAGAGAAAGGAATGCAGAGACAAGATTGGGAATGAAACTAATACAAAAAGAAAAGTAGCTCGTTTCTGAGTCTTGCTTTTTTGAGGGCCATTTTCTTTCTTCTTTTTTCACAGTTCTGGTTAGAAATGCAGTTATGTTCTAATTCTGCTTTCATGATTGTTGGTTGGTGTTAGACCTTCTCTCAGCAGGCTGAGTTCCTAGAGAAATGGGAGAAAGACCAGTTAAAAACATTTAAATTGAATGCCTTATAGTTTTAAAATGTTTTTCTTTGGTGAGTATTACAAATCTGAATTGGATTAGGAGAGTCTAGGTGCCACAACCACTTTAATTGAAATCTCCTTTATGTGGCTGTGGACTTCTTTTTCTTTGTTTTGTTTTCTTAAAAGACTATTTTTAGAGCAGCTTTGTTCCCAGAACTTTTTTTTTTTTTTTTTTTTTTTTTTTTTTCGTCTTTTTTTTTTTTTTTTTTTTTTTTTTTTTTTTTTTTTTTTTTGACAGAGTCCTGCTCTGTCACTCAGGCTACAGTGCATTGGCATGATCTTGGCTTATTTACTGTAACCTCTGCCTCCTGGGTTCAAGTGATTCTTCTGCCTCAGCCTCCTGAGTAGCTGGGATTACAGATGTGCACCACCATTCCCAACTAATTTTTGTATTTTTAGTAGAGGTGGGGTTTCTCCATGTTGGTCAGGCTGGAGAGCTCCTGACCTCAGATGATCCGTCCACCTTGGCCACCTGAAGTTCTGGGATTACAGATGTGAGCTATCATGCCCAGCTGTCTTGTTTTAATTAATAAAAAAATAAAAGGAGCTGACATGTACTGACTATGGATGTGCTGAGTGGTGAAATTCCTTACATACATTCTCTCATTTAATCTCAGCAATACTTCCATAAAGTAGGTGCTGCTATTAATCCCATAAGGTCTCACAACTTTGGCACAAAACCAAAGTTAAACCTGGACCGTTTTACCTCTAGAGTGTATAGAGGTAATATCTATGTGCTGTGCAACTTGTCCCCCACAACAAAGAATACAGGGCTTTCTAAAGGCTAGAGTTCTCATTAAAATTTGAGTGGAATGGCATTCGATATTTAAATGCTTACTGTTACAGTAAGAAATTAAGAAATCATTTTCATTTTAGAGAAATAAGTGCAACCCTAAGACATTAATTTACTAATTATTCTTCCTCATGGAGATATAATCTGATAATTAATCTTACTTATCTGCTACATAGACGTTTCCAACTTTCATATATTATTAGCCTTAACCTCTATGATATTCAGGTAACATTAAAATAAGAAAATGCAATGTCACAAATAACCCTTTCTACATGATATGGTGAAATTAGTGAAATATGATGAGTTACTGGGAAAAACATAATGTTACTCTGTTTTGAATCAAGGGTGTTAACATTTTTAGTGTTAGCAATAATTTGTTTTCTTTTAATCATACAATTATTACATTTATTTTCCTAAGTAAAATGGAAAAACATCCCAATTGCCAAATACTAATGATGCATTCTTAGAGTCTCTATGTGTAATCTTATTAGGTTTCTGTTTTTCAGCTGGAAAAGTTTATGAAGCCAGTATTCGTTTATCTTGAGGGAATTTTGCTTGCATTGAGAAGACATATTTACCGTTTTCCACAGGCAATTCAGGCCAATATTTGTCCTTCTTTATCACAGCAACAAAAGTTTTTCACTTTGCAATCCTGTGTAGTTTGGATAAAGTTAGTCTGTTTTTCCAAAAAATATTAATAGAATACCTGCTGCATGTTTTTTCAAAAAATATTTTTTGTTCTTTATCTTTAAAAGAGTGTGTTTACACAGAGAAAGCTTATGAATCAATATGAGATACTTTTATACTTAAAAAAATACTCAGTTGAACTTTATATGAAGCATCCTCAAGAAGTTTTATTTTTATCATTTTAATATTTAAGCAAATAAAACCAGCTATTTGTGATACTAACAATTGTGTTTTTAAGCTGACACAATTCAGCTTCATTTCCCCTTTTTTTGTAATACTGCCCTATACCCTCTATCCACATGAAATAATTAATTATTAAAACATCAGCAGGACACTGGGATTCTCTCAGTTTCTTCTCTGATTGGCTAGATCTTGCACAGAATAATGACATGAGGAAGAAGCAACTTTGATACATTTATTTTTGTTCCAATAGGCACAGAAAATAATAATAAACTAACATTTGAATTTCACACTTTGACAGGGCTTTCAAATATATTTTCTTCAATTTGGCTTCACATCTCTCTTGTTGGTAGATATTAATCCCAATTTAAAAAGAAGGACACAAAGATTCGGAGAAGTAAGAGACAAGTCCAGCTCACCTACTTAGTAGAGTTACAAATTAAACTTTAGAGTTCTGATGACGAGGCTTGCATTTTCCATGATTAGATGCTGTGAAATGAGGAAAATAAAATGGAGATGCACTTCCAAAGAAATGTAAATTACAAGATATTTAAACCTTTCTCTTTCAGTATACCTATATCTTAGATTACCAACCTTTCTGATTTGGGGGGGAGGTTTGGGTGTGACAAGTAGAGATAACCTAGAGGAATCCTTCAAATTGGTGACCTTGGAAATGATAGACAAACTGAGGCTGTTGTTTTAACACATGAATCCTTTACTTTGTTCACAGCTGCAAACATTTTTTGAGACATTCCTGAGAGCCAGTTCACCTCATCAGGCTTTTGATATTATGAAGGATGCAATTGGCAAACTCCTGCTAGCAGCTGAAGTATTCAGTGAAACATCTACTCTGGGGCCAAAGACCTTTCATAGGTAAAAACAAATTTTAATTAAAAAAAAGAAAAGACAATAAAGAAAGAAATCTATCTTCTAAAACTTGTTGGTGGAAATATATCTTAATTATCATAAGTAGGTGGTACTTGCAAAATTTTATGTCAATATACAAATCTAATCTTCTAAACATATTTGGCCATATTTACAGATCCCAAAACTTTAGAACATATAACAGACTCAATAGTATCTAAGTAGTGGTGATAAGAAGTAAAGTACACATTTTAAAAGTTAATCTTTAAATTGCAGTTTTTTTCAAGCACAACTATTTCTATCATAGATGCTTAGCATTGACTAGGTGTAATTTTACTTGTACATAATAAATTTTGTTCTCAAACATTCCACTGATTTTATAATACAGAGGAGAAAATGAAAAACTTTATTAAGAAAATTCAATAACTCCTATTCCCATATCTATTTACTTGAATGTAACTTACTGCCTTTGTTCTAAGGAAATGTTAAGTCTAGTATGTTGAAAAGCAAGAGAAGAACATCAATTTAAACCTTATCATAATTTATACGTGAATAAGTGCCTGGCATGTAGGAGTAGGAGAATTTTCTTCATATTTAGGTTTCCATGGAATTACTTTATTGCTTAATGTGTTATGAATATTTTGGTATAATTTTATTTTCTGCAAGAAATAAAACAGAATCCAAATCCAAAAATTAATCACATGTAATTTTACATTATCGAAGCCATTGTTCTTTTTAATTAGTAGACATGTTGAAATTTAACTATATAATTATTAATATGATACTAAATAAAAGTAAATACCAAAGAGAATATAGTTTTTTGTTATCATTTTACTTTAAGTTCTGGGATACCTGTGAAGAACGTGCAGGTTTATTACATAGGTATACCTGTGTCATGGTGGCTTGCTACACATATCAATCCATCATCTAGGTTTTAAGCCCCACATGCATTATTTGTCCTAATGCTCTTTCTCCTCTTGCCCCCCCACCCACAACAGGCCCTGGTGTGTGATGTTCTCCTCCCTGTGTCCATGTGTTCCCATTGTTCAACTCCCAGTTATGAATGAGAGCATGCAGTGTTTGATTTTCTGTTCCTGTGTTAGTTTGCTGGGAATGATGATTTCCAGCTTCATCTATGTCCCTGCAAAGGACACGAATTCATTCTTTTGTATGGCTGCATAGTATTCCATGGTGTATGTGTGCTACATTTTCTTTATGCCATCTATCATTGATGGACATGTGGGTTGGTTCCAAGTCTTTGCTATTATAAAAAGTGCTGCAATAAACATATGTGTGCATGTGTCTTTAGTTTTATGTTGCCTTGTGTTTTCATTTTAGATGCAGATTCTGTTTTCAACTTCTAACTTTTGATATTGGTTATGGCAGTTTCATGTACCCTGTAGTGCTCCAGGTCAGTATGCCAAAGGCCTCATAAGTGGTGTGGGTTTCTTCCTTGTGGTGAAAGATCAGTGTGTGTTGTTGTTTTCACTCATAGTAACCAGTCAATAAATAGCAATTTGCAAAAGTCACTGTAGGCTTATATTCACTGTGGTTCAGAGAATTAACTAGTATGTAGAGAGTCTATGAGTCCAATCCTGCCTATGTGTCTCTGTAAAACAAACATGAATTTTTCTATGGTTCAAGTACTATTTGTGAAATAAATGTGGTATGAAGTCAAGTGTGCATTAATGGAGAGAACAGGAAGTGCAGATAATAGAAAGTAACAGATTATCTGGTGTATTTACATGAGGTTATAAAAAGATAACTTTTATTTTTTATATATAGATATTTAGTTTAAAATTGGTTTATATTTAATTTTAAAAGTAATGGGAATTTTTGAAATTTTTTTGTTATAGATACTATGTGTAGATGAAGTGTTTTTGTACATTTTGATTCTTTTCCTTCCTCTCATGTTAAATACAGTCATTCAGACCATCTCCCCCAACATATTTTTTTTCCTCTAACATAGCACTCAGTGACAAAAAGATTAAAAATAATTTATTAAATTAGTCTATAGAAAGTTGTACCTAGGGATATGGGGTGGGAAAAAAGGAAGAAGGGCAAAATAAAATTATGTGTAACTAGAGTTCAACTTCATATAACATTTAGATGTTTTCAAACTATTATACAGGTAAACCAATTACATTATAGGTGGTTCAGACATTTAGTTAAATAGTTCCAAGATTTTGGCATAAAAATGTAAAACTTTATTAAATGACACCTTTTAATAGTCATTTTTTCATTATTTTGCATGCATATTTAATAGTTTGTATTATGCTTTTTAAAATCTGTTCAGAAAAAAAGTTATGTACCATCTTGAATGAAAGCATATTCTTCCACTATAAAAGGTACTAAGGTAAGCTAATGCGATTTTATAATGTATTAGTTAAATTTCTTATACTGTACATTAAATAATTGTTTTTAAATTGTATCTTTAAAAAAACATTATTCACATTTATAAAACTGTTGACCTCCAAAAGGACCACTAGATGTCAGTTCTGATCTATAATCCAACAGGAAATAAATCATGTCTTAGAAGTAATTCCATTGTCTTAAAAGTAAATCAATGAATAATATTTGCTGTGCTTTTGTTCTTTCAAAGGTACATGAGCATTTAAATTTTCAAGATAATGATAATATGGATTTTGAGGACCAAAATACAGAAGAATTCTTATTAAATGACACTTTCAATTTTCTCTTTTCTAATGAATCATCACTTTCCTTGTTTTCTGAGATATTTCAGAAACTTTATAGATCAGATGTATTCAAGGTAAGCGCATATTTGTGTACTGATAAGTACTTTTTCAAGTCATTCCTTCGAAGGTGGCATTCTTTTTATTGTGCAATTTCAGCAACTTAATAATTCACTTGAGATTAATTGGCATCTATTATATCACACTTCTTAATTTTTTTCTCACCTCAGGATCAATATTATTTTTATGTCAACTAAGTATGCAAGTGACTGATTATGATGAAATTATGGGTTGAAAATTAAGTAAAATGTTCATAATTTCTTTCTTTTCTTTCTTTCTTTTTCTTTTCTTTTCTTTCTTTTTTTTTTTTTTTTTTNTTTTTTTTTTGAGACAGAGTCTTGCTCTGCTGCCCAGGCTGGAGTGCAGTGGCACCTTCTCAGCTCACTGCAACCTCCGCCTCCTGGGTTCAAGTGATTCTTCTGCCTCAGCCTCCTGAGTAGCTGGGACAACAGGCGCATGTTACCACAACACCTGACTAATTTTTGTATTTTTAGTAGAGATGGGTTTCCCCATATTGGCCAGGCTGGTCTCAAATTTCTGATCTCATGATCCACTTGCCTCAGACTCCCAAAGTGCTGGAATTATGAAATGTTGTGGAAATTATGAATAATATGTATTATATACTATATAATACTTTTTTATTTTTTGATTTTTCCTTTCAACTTGTAAGTTCAGAAGGTACATGTGCAGGTTTGTTACATGTATTGTAGAGTACTTTGAAAGGAATGTTAGAACTTTTTGGAGGTAGTCTAGAAGAGCAGCAAGTGCTCCAGATTGACATCAGAGGACTTGAGTTATAATACTAATTTTGCTTAAGCATCCACATCTATTGTCATGTTAGGGTGAATGCCAATGAATAGGGCATAGTGCTTCAAAATAACATTGATTGATTTTTATTACATGTTAACATCTCCCCAACCTTACTACCAAAGCATCATTGAGCTATTTTATCCAGGACCTCCCCGTCAAGTATGAAGTTTTCTTATATTCAGACACCACTGTGATAAGTTGAAGTTGCTTAAGAAATGGGAGGTAATTGGGTTGAACATGGTTTGACTTTTTAACAGTTGCTAAATTTTTCTCCCTCCCACCAATATAGGGTGAAAACTATCAAAAGGAACTAAATCAGTGTCTGTCCTTAGAAGAAATTAACTCAATTCTGACTTTCATAAAGGAACTTGGAAGTCTGGGACAATTCCAGCTGGTAAAGCAAAAGTGACATTTGATTCTTCTTGATGACTGAGATTAGAGTAGATCACTGTAAGCTACCTGATTTTGACATCAAACTATTAAGAAATAGAAATCTTTACAAGCTACTTTCTTCTTTTCAGAGATCTAAGTAGCAAAATAAGCAAGATTTATATGCATTACTTTAAGAGTTTTAAACAATATGTGACTTATTAAAGGAAAAAGAATATGGGATTAGCATAGCTGCCAGTATTTGACAGTTCTCAAGGGGAAAATGTCAACATTTTTCTGAAGAAGTTTTACTTTTAGCTTCAGAACATTTACATGAAACCAAAGGTTATTTCTGCTTATTATACCCTTGTTATTTCTGCTTATTATACCCTTTTTGTTTTTGTAAAATCAAATATATTTTTAAAAATGTTTTAGAAAAGTGCCTAAACCTTAATTTCTTATAACTCTATATCAAACTTCAAAGGAAGAGAATGTAAATAATTATAACTTTTACTGGTTTATATCTTTTTAAAAAGGCATTTATTTTCTCTCTTATGTATTTTCTTGGGTTTTGTTAATTCCTTGGTCAATATCAAAGGATAATTTGTTGCATACAAAATGCATGTTCAGTACTTGTTTTCTTTCCCGTTCTGATACTTATATAGAATAAAGTGAATTTGTATTTTTCTACCTAAGATTTGTTCATATGAAATATCTTTTTAAAATAACATTCTTAGTCATTAATAATTTATTATTACCCTGATGTTTCACTCAAGTATTTATTTTACTTTTGAAAAGTATATATATATATATATATATATATATATGTAATATACATATACATACATATATATATATACACATATATATATATGTAATATACATATACATACATATATATATATATACACACACACACACACACACATACACTACTTGATGAGTTTAATCAACTTACTAAGTTAATTAATGAGTGTTTGATACTTGTTTTTCTAATTTACTCCCAAATTTTAAAGGATTCAAAGTAAGCTAATTTCCCCAAAGATAATTGAGTTGACACAATATCATTTTAACTATTTTAAATATAGTAAGTATTACATTCACAACAGTTTGACTTAATACTATAAAAATAAAATAAAAGGGACCTGGCCTCACTCCTCAAGAATTTATAACTTTAGATATTGTGAATATGGAGAACATCTCTCACCATAACTTGCGGAATAACTAAATAATTATTTTGCAAGAGAAAGAGAAAATTCCAATTTCCTGGTTCTCATAGTAGAAAGGAGATAACCACAGATTTTTCTCTGTGGGGCAAGAGGGGAAGATTAATATTTCTCACTCTGACATAATTCACTTATAACCTAAGAGGCTTTCTCATTCTTCCTACTGTGGAACTTTTTTATTCAGGTGTCTTCAGGTATCTGTAATGGGAAAGAGAAATCCACTTATATTAACTGAAAAAAAAATTAGTCCTATTTGGAAATATGATCACCAACAAAATTAGCTTCTTATAAAAAAGTGATATTTATACCAAAAACTTCACAGTAAACTAATTTGTGGTACTGACCAATGGATTTTTAACAAATATTTGATTTCTTAAATAAATAAGTATAAAGTTGTTCATAGTAATACTGCATTATAATTTGTTTTCCATAACTTATAATGATGTTTTATGTGCTCAGCTCTTCCCATCGACTACTCCTGGGATTCAGTCACTGATGCACGAATTTTATGATATGGCAAATCCTGTGGGAAAACCTGGCTCAGTCCTGACCCAATACTGGTCTCTTTTAAATGTATTTGAACAATTTCAGTTCATGAATAAAAAGACACAGCTACATCCACTAGAATGGTAAGATACCCACAAGTTTGAATTGTACAATCCAAAAAATCTCTAGTCTACAGATCGATTTCAAAAGGCTTTGCCTATGTTAACACAAGCAACAATGACAAAAAAAGTGTGTCCAAATTTCCATGCTCTGGAAAATAAATGTCTTTAAACATTGAAACCATAATGATTCTAGTGGTCTTTAAACACTGTAATAAAAATGAATCCAACAGTTTTTTTAAATCAACAAGACTTGACTCCACTTAATGTTTAGAATTGAAAGTTTCAATCTAGTTTCCTTTTGTGACATATATTCTTGAATTGTGGGACTATTAGACAAAAAGTATTAGGTGAGATTTGTTTTACAAACCATTATCAGAGCTTGATACGGTAATATTATTTATTTAGAAGGATTTTTAAGGTGTGACTTTTTTCTGAGCAAAACCCGTTGAATGTATATACATATGTCCTGTCTTTTTCACAATTTATTCCTATTTTGATTTTAGAAGATAGAACTTTTGTTTTTTTGCTGTTGTTTTGTTTTGTTTTTTGAAGGTAGAATCTCAGAGGAAAATATTTGGCTCAGATAAAAGTTTCCCACCTTCACTTCCATTCTAATGAGAGATAGTAATTAGGGAATGAGAGCTGAGACAGATAAAATTTTACCTCCATTAGTTAGGGAAAAGGGACAACACCTAAGGGTTTGTCTGCTTCTGTTTTATATGGATTGAATTGCGGGAGTATTTGCCTTTTCTACTGGCAGCAAAACAGAAGTAAACCTAAACCTCCTAGGGAGATGAAAGACTAAATGGCCCTGACATAATCATTAAAGTCTTTTGCAGTCACCCTAGGGAATGGCTTCCGTTCTATTGACTTACACTTCACTTCTTTCTGCTCAGGATATAGTGAAAACAGGCCTATAAAAACTTTATTTTTAAAATTCAAAAATTTGAATTTTTTATGTTTCAAAAATTTCAATAATCATGTATTTCAAGAATTCTTAGGACATCTCCCAGGAGCAGAGTTCCCTTTAATTGCTGCAACTTAAAGAAGTTCGTCTTATTTCCTCAATACCTGGAAGTAGTAGGCTCAGCAGAAGATTTTTTATGTGTTTGAATATTAGGTTTCAAATAACATACCTCAGAGACCCTTTGTTTGTACTTCACAGTCACTCAAATAATCTAAGACTGCCTCGTTTATTATAGATGGGCGAAAAACAGACTTGATTTCCAAAGGAAGCTATTTAAAAGTATCATTTTTAACTTTGAGGAAGTTCCCTCAGGATACTCAAAGTTTGAAAAGTTTGTTCCCCAGCAGATTTTTCTCAAGCTCCACATATGTTGTAAGATTAAGCAGTGTTCTGATCTTAAATTTAGAAGATTGAAATCTTTTCTTCCAATAATAAAATTTACTAATGGTCAGTGTTGAGTATAGTTAGACAGGGTGAGGACATTTTTGAATTATAGAGACTAGATTCAAAAATCCCAACTTTAGTTTATGAAGACAAGGTTTGGACTGCTCTGAGACTCAGTTTCTTATCTGCAAAGTATACATTATACTACAAACCATGTATATTTCGATATGATTACATAAAAATAACTTTCATTTGCTACATGGCACCTGATACACTATAGCAAGAATAGGTAGGAAATATCAATATGCTTTTCTTTCTATGTTTCTATTCAATGATCATTTTAGCTTCTATAGTGAGGGTAATGTTTTTATATTTTTAATGGGAAAAGCAAGACAATTTTGAAATGTTTATCTAAGTTAACAGTGAGATAAGCAAACCTTACTATGTTTTCAACAAGCAATTTGTATATGGCTAATTTCACTTGCATTCAATAAAAAAATGTCCAAATCTAATTCTCTTCAAGGTTACCAGTGAGCGTATATATATATTTATTTATCATTCATGCCATATTGCAATGAGGGTGCATGTTATATACATTTTCCAAATGACAAAATGAAGTGCTGAGAAGATGGGTCATTTGCTCAGGTTACAAAGCTAATAGTAATAGAGTTGGAACTAGGACCCTGGCCTTTTCATCCATGGTCCAGCACATCGTGTAGATAGGGAGGTCATCATTGTCCTTATGTTCCCAATGGTTACCTCAATTTTTTCTATAGACAATGTCAGCTTCATAGTTGTACACTACCTGTGTTCAACGACTGCATCTTTCCTTCTAAGTAAAGACCATCCTCTTGTCGCAGTGAGGCGAAAAGAGATAAAGTCAGAAAAGCATTACGGTACTAGTTAACTGTTATATATGTGTTCTGAGGCCCAAAATCCAGAGATCTCAAAAGAATTAGTGTAAATCTGAACAGAATGAAAATCTTAAGATCAACATTGTGCACCATGTGCTAATTTTACCTTACTAGAAATAAAGTTGCATTGTACTTTGCTCTAAGGAAATGCTTTCAATAAAAATCCACCTGGATGAAACAATTTATTCACAAAATTATGTAGAAAATCACTGCAGGATGCCTTTACATACAGGTGTCTCATTGTATTAAGATAGTAACCTTTCCAAACTTTAGTTTCTGTGCATTTCAGGGTTGTGTCTTTTGTGAGTCACCTGGAATAAACAGTTTTTAAAATAAAAATGCAAAAAATTATCATGGTTTCCACCATTAGCAACAATTTTAATTCCTTGATGCTTTTAAATTTCTTAGCTGATGTTTACATTTGGAAGGTATTGAATATGTCTTATTCATCTCTTTTCCATTACAGTACCCAGCACAATATCTGGGACAATACATATTTCTAAAATGTTATTTAACGCATAAAATTGTATTTAACTTTCATAGCATCCCTGTGAAGTAAGATAAACATTGTTATCTCTGTTGTGCTGGGGTGGAAACAGAGATTTGCACCAGCACAGAAAAGTCTTGTCAGGGGCCTGCAGATGTTCATGCCTGGTGTTTTTTATCATCTGCACCAGCAGTTTTTCTGTCTGCAATTTAAATTATTTTGGTCTCAAATTTGAGGACTTAAAGGGCAGTCTGGCAAAGTATTTAGTTAGTTATACAACACAGAAAATGACGTGAACACACCGGAATATAACCCTTATGATTCACTACAGTTTAAGGGTAGAAGACTTGGCAAGACATAGGTCATTTTCTGAATAGTACACTTACATTTCTTCAATTAAATGTATGTTCTTCTCAGGCTGTCTCAGTACTTCTAAGACTTTTTGCTCCAAAATAGTTTAACTATAGCCAAACAGATTTCCAATAAGAATGTGTATTCTTGAATCACTTCTATTGGACCCAAGCTATCTGAGATTCCTTGGATTTGGACTGAAGAGTGACGTTTTACCCTGGTTTTCTTCAAATGTGCTTCCACTGATTAGGGATGATGAGATTTCCACCTACTTCATTGGAGGGTAGATTGCCAGTTTTGAGGACTGAAATGCAGAAAATGTTTTTGTGTTCATCAAAGTAACTGTGCCCATACAGAAGAAAAGATAGTGTGTTAGATATAATTTTCATGTGTTTTGTTCATTTCATTCATCCAGAGTTGTTTGGCATTGCATTTGCAGGAATTCTTTCACAGAGGATAAAAACATTGAAAAACCACAAGTGCCATTTGATGCAACAGAAAATAAAAAAGGTAAATATTATATATATATATATTCCCATGTGTTTCATCATAAAAATAAGTATTTCCTCGCAAAAAATGTAAAATATTTCACCTCATTAGCAATCAAAAATGAAAATTAAATGAGAAAATGCTATTATCCCTCAAATTTGGAAAGAATTAAAAAAAAAATAATAGAGTGGGAATCCAGCAATCCCACTACTGGAAATGAGTATGTTAAAGAGATATTTGTACTCCCATGTTAGCTGCAGCACTACACATAATATTCAAGGTATAGAATCATCCTAAGTGTTCATCAGTGAATAAATGGGTAAAGACAATGGGGGTATATATATATATATATATATATATATATATATATACACACACACACAATGGAATACTGTTCAGCCAAAAAGAGAAAGAAATTCTGTTATTTGTCAGTTTGTGACATAGATAATCCTGGAGAATGTTAAGTGAAATAAGCCAGGCACAAAAAGATAAAAACCCCATACTTTCACTCACATGTGGGATTGAAAACATTTGATCTCACAGAATAAAGAGAGGTTACCAGTTTTATGCTCTCATAGAGGGTAGAATAGTAGTTACTAGAGGACAGAGAGGATAGGGAGGGAAGAAGATGGCCAGAGATTGGCTATGGTTCGATAGGAGAAAAAATTCTTTTGATCTATTAAACAATCAGATGACTATCATTAACCAATTTATATTTTTAAATAGCTGGAAGAGAGGATTTTGAATGATCTCACCACAAATAACGATAAATGTTTGATGTGATGGATATGGTAGTTAGCAAGATTTAATCATTATACAATGTATACATGTATTGAAATATTTTTCACTATACCCCAGAATAATGTGTCAATTAAAAGTAAAACTTCAAAAACATAGTAGAGTGGGGAGAGTGTAGGGAAATAAGTATTGTGCTAGTGAATGTATAAATTAGAACAACCTCTATTAAGGGGCCACTTAACAAAATATAAGAAAAGCTTTAAAAGCTATTTTTAGAGATCAGAAATTTTACTTCTAGATATTTATTTTAATGAAATAATGTATACAAAATTTAATTACATAAATTATCAATAAAAATAGAATTTATTACTATTGCAGTAAGAGTGGACTGGACACACAAATTAAGCTAGAGTAATCAAATAAAACATTGTAAACCCATTCTTATGTTGTGAAAGAATATTTATGACATGAAAGTTGTTTATGATCTATTATTAAACCTAACAATTGACTACCTCACCATGAACCTCAAGAAAAATTAATGGTGATTTTTATTTTTCCTCTTTGGGTTATCTCAATTTTTTCTTTTTTTCCTTCCAAAGGACAGCTAAGCTTTTTTTTTTTTTTTCCAAGGGAAAACAATACTTCTAAGTTTAAAAAGAAAAAATGAAAAGAAATATTCACCCATATGTCTTTAATTTTTTTTAGTTCAAAGATTTTCTATTATGAAACAGGATTTAACCCAATACAGTGGTTTTCAATGTGTATCCCTGTCTCCCCAGAATCACCTGGAAAACTTAGCAATTCAGATTTACTCAACCCACTATCTCTGGGGTTGAGACCTAGCAATTTGTGTTTTAATAAGCCCTTCTGATGATTCTAAGGCTAGAGTTTGAGAATCACTGATTCAATAGAATGAATCAGTAGGTGCAATGAAGAACTGGGAGAAACTACCTTTCATTTGCCCACCAGTTTTTTCCTCTATAAATGAAGATTTAACCACTCTGTGTGTTTTGTTCATTTATTTGTTTCATAAATATTTATTAAGGAGTTTTTAAAATAAATATTTGTATTTAAATATTTATTAAAAAAACGTAGAGTAAATGTTAGTGAGACCAACTGAATGGACCTTCTATAATTCTAATGATTTGAGAAACTATAGTTATAGGATATGGAACCTGTGAGGAATCTTGATTGATTAACTTCAGGCAATAAATGGCATTTAAGCCATCATTTTCTCCCTTAATGTTTTTCTATTTGAAGTAATCATTCTTCTGAGCTTTGAATAAAATAACTTCTTTTATTATAGTTTTCAGTTTTACTTAGATATGTTCACTGGTATAATAAAAGTTAAAAATGTTTTATTAAATTATCTAATTTGATAGCTGAATGTATATTTAAAAAATTTGATTAATGGTTTTTATTTTAAATTTACATTTCTTTTTTTTTTTTTAAGTTGCAGTTCTACAAATTAAGAATGAAAATAAAGAAATACATTGCAGTTATGGTGAGTTGAGATTAAAGAGTTTTAGCAGCATAATTGACAATTAGGAAACAGCACAAGTTTGAATTTAAAAAAATCATCATTTTATTATATTTGGGTATCTTTAGGCTGATAATTTTTAAAGTAAATTTTTAGAAGTTATTAGATTCTGATGGAGTCAGTATCTATCACTTTTACATAAAAACATAAAATATTACATTCATTTAAGGACGACTTCCAAACCCACCTTGAAGGGCTTTTTGGGTTCTAGGGCATTGCCTTGGAAGCCCTTCAAGTGTAAGAGCTTGACTTATCAGCTTTATACATCGATCTTCAGAGGTCTCACTACCTGGCAGTGATTCCTTTCTCACCAGATTGTTGCTATAGTGGTTAGTACTTGAGTAGAGTGTTTTTGTAACAGTTGAGAGTTTTTAAGCCAATTTTCAATTTATTTTTTAATTCATTTTTTAACCAAGCCATAATAGAAGAAAAATACTTTTAAGTTTGTATTAACTTTAAATTTAAAAAATAATTTTCTTTATATTGGTCAGTATTATTGCTACAATGGTCTTGCAAATATATCATCTTAGAGAGTCTAACTGACTTTTCCAAAGTCACAGGGTTATTAAATGCCTGAGCTGTATCACAAAGCTGAGTCTTCAGATTCTCTGTTCAAAGCTCCTGAACTAAGCTAGGCATAGTGCCATGCACCTATATGCCCAGTGCCTTGGGAGGCCAAGGCAGAGGCATCACTTGAGCCCAGGAGCTCCAGGTTACAGTGATTGCATCACTGTACTCCAGCCTGAGGGACATAGCAAGACCCTGTCTCTAAAAGAAAAGAAAAAGAAAAACTCCTGAGTTTTCTTAGTATTCTATAATATATTGTAGAGAGATTGAATTTTATATAGCAAGATTTTTCTTAGCAATGTATACCTTAAAATATATGTGTGTGCCTATGTGTATATGTGTGTATATATATATATATATATATGTATTTGGTGCCAAAAATCAACTTAGAAAATTTAGTTTTCCACAAATAAAAAATCAATTCCAGTAAAACACTAAAGCTAAAAAAAGTATAGATTTAATTTAATTTATTATATTATTTTATTCATTAATTTATTTTTTAGAGACAGGATCTCACTTTGTTGTCCTGGCTGGAGTGCAGTGGAACCATCATAGGTCACTGCAACATCGACTTTCTGGGCACAAGCAATCCGCCTGCCTCAGCCTCTCAAGTAGCTAGGACTACAGGCATGAGCTACCTGTAGTACATGTAGTTACATGTAGCTACATCTGGATAATTTTGCAATTTTGTGTGGAGATGCTATTAGCCCAGGCTGGTCTCAATCTCTTGGCCTCAAGTGATCCTCCCGCCTCAGCCTCTCAAAGTACTGGGATTACAGAAATGAGTCACTGTGCCTGGCCTAATTTATTATTAATAGAATTCTTTGAATTTAATAAAATCTAATTTTTACAATCTAAAATCTGGTTTAATTCATTCATGAGGTTTTATCACTATTGTTAAAATCATGGTAGGCTGAGATGTTATAATAATATGGTTTAATAGAATTAACATATATAGCCAATTAAAGAAAGTGGCATTTTAAATAAAGTATTGCTAATAGAGAATAAAGATAGCAGGTGTTATTTATGCCATTCCCTCCCTGCACTCATCACACAAGCTCCTACCCCTAGAAAAATACATGCTACTCCACTCTCCTGGAAAACTGTTGTCTAGGGTATGGTGTGAAAAGGACTAGTGAGAAAACTAGGAGCAAAATTAGAATCAACACTTGTTGAGGGTCTACTCTGTGCGAGGCCCAAGGCAAGGTGCAACATCAAGAAAGCCAGTTTGCCTCTTCGGGCTTCTATTTTCTCATTTGCAAAATGAAAGGATTGCATTGGATGATCTCACTTATTATTATTATTTTTTTTTGGTTGCCAGGTAATATGGTGCAGATGATGTTAACATGTTAGATGGCTCTTTAGCTTTGTTCATGTTTTTATGATGATAAAAATTAGTCCTGCCTGGATCTTTAGTAACTAATCTTCTTGCTTTTGTGGTATAAAATAAGATTTTAAAAAATAATGTGATGATGCCTCAGAACAGGTGGAGTTATTTTAGAGTCTAGGCTCTTCTCATGTTCAATATGAGTTATGATTATTCCTCAAGAGGTCAATAAAATTCTGCAGTTAAAAGAAATCCATTAAAAGCAACCAAATCTTCAAACAGCTTTCCCATAGATCCTTGCCAAATAGGTTAAGCAGCCTGCTACCCCTGTACCTCATGCTGGGTTCTCCGTAGATCTCAGGTAAGCTGGCCTGAGACAAGTTGAGACTGGGAAGGGCAAGATACCAAGCAAACACCAGGTGTCTGTAGGCGGCAACACTGATACTTGAGTTGAAGATGATATCAGAACTAAATCAGCATTCAGGCAGGGGTTTAGGAGATAGTGCTCACACAAGAGGCAGAGACTTTCTGATGAAACCAAAAGTAAGCATTTGCTGAAGAGAACGATTGCACATTTATTTCAGGTCATCTAGGGCTGTTTCAGTTCCTAAGGAAAGCAAGCCCCATTGAAAACTGTGACTATTAAGTAAAAGCATAAACTACAAGGAAATTAACTCTCAGAGAATCTTTATAAAAATATATCTTATTAAGTTAAAGTACATCTTTTATGTTTTATTTTGAAAAAAGATCTTCCTCTTTGCTATTCACTTAGCTAGTTCTGGGCATAAAAGTGCAAGTGTGGATATTCCCTTTTTGCCTGGGCAATGGTAATTTCCAAAGCATAGTCCATATCTCAGCTCCAGCTTGTTTAATATTATGTTGAGTTTGCAGCCATTTGAATCAAATCTCATGATTAATAATATCCTTTTTTAATTGTGCTTATCTCAGAGTCTTTCACGAGAAAATGCTGGAGAAAAAACTTTGATGAAAAAGAATGTATTATTAATAAGTGGTTGAATTTGAATTAAAAACTGTGGTCCTTTACAGAATGATTTCTAATAAAAATAATTTCTGCCTTCATTCTTTTTTCTTTTTTATTATAAGAAGATTTCAGGGGCTGTTATGATCATTGAAATTATAGATGCAGTCCACCTACATCGATCAGCCAGATACTACCTTGGATTGACCATTAGGACAAATAACAAGTAAAATTAATGAAGCAGATAGTTTACCCAATTTAATGAGTTATTCAACCAACGTTACTAGATGTTTATTTTTTATTAAGACCTCTTTATGAAATAAAATTACAGTATGTCTATTGTAACATATATCTATTATATTACTACTGTTTGTAATTTATACATTAACTTGTTGTTCTTCCATAGCCTAAGAAACCTACAGAATATGGGTCAGAAATATATAGGTTCTTTAAAATTTTTAATTCTTTTAGTCCATGATGGGAGCTATATAGAGACCTAGTCCCCAGAACAAAAATGAAGCATCCATATAGGTTGGTGGTACTCATTGTCAAGGATTTGGTGGTGCATCTCCATGTCCATCAAAGAAAAATAAAAATTTTGATCTTGTTGAAGACAAAGTCTGGGCATATTGGGCAATGCCGCTGGAGAGCAAGACAAGGAGGACTTGTGAAATGCCTTGTTTGCCTTTTTAGGACTTTGGACTTGACTCTGGAAATGATGAGAAACCACTAAAGAAAGGAAGACAAATCATTAGATTTGACCTTGGAAAAATCAGTATTATAGTTATCTAAAAGCAGAGGAAAAACCAACAATTAATAAAACGATCTCCTTTCTCTATGTTTAGTTTCATAGCTTCCTGTAGCAAATTCTGTTATCCTTTTTGTTTATATGTTGTTAAATGCCACTGAACATTTTATGTAAGGCCACACCAAGATACTTTCATTTTACAGATTTTCATAGAATTTTCTATGTTTATCTTTGTTGGCATTTTATTGGCAATTGGAAATTATTGATGAAACTAAATACTTCTTGACATTTCTTTGAAAAACACTGTTAAGCTTTTGGGTAATTTGTTTATTCCAAACATTAATATTGAATATAACTTAACAGTAGCTGGTGTATGTGCCTATAAAGCTATTTTTCTTTTTCTTTTTTGTTTGTGCACTGAGATACAGCTGTAAACAATTGGGCTAACAAAGAGAAATATTTTTTTAATGCCTCAGAATCAATGTTATGAAGTAATGTTCTAGGTTCTGTGACAAGATGGAGCAGAGGATAGTATTTCCTTCTTATACTTGATGATACGTTCCCAAGTAAGGTGGCCTGGGAAGGAAGCAGTTTCAGGATGCCCTTGCTTATGTGTCTGTTTGGTATGATATTGGAGTTTGCAGTCTTTGCCCCACACTGCCTATGAGATACTATATCAATTAAATGGCATTTCAGTGATGCTCCACATCAAGAAATTTTCCTCATTCCTTGCTGGTCTCCTCTGCCACTATCCCACAGAGCCATCACCTCCACTTACATGGTTGCTTGATATATGCAGTAAATGTCACAAAAATGTTATCAGTCTACAGGAGAGACATTTTCCTACCTTCTGTGCCTTTAAACTTTCAAGGGCTGAGCAAAAAACACCATCTATATAACACAAACTAAAATCAACAGCTGATATATGAGGCAACTTCTACAGAATCTGATGAGTTGAAAAACCAGCTGCAGCCACAAATCAACTATGATCAGGGTACTGAATGAAAAGTCAGTAGGGATCATTGAAGTTGTTCAAAGGAAACAGAAAAAGAAAAACTTTAATCATATATTATTTAAAGATACTTATCCACTTCACAGTTGTCTTTTTTCTGTCATTGTTTTTGTATTTTTAACAGATAAAGACACACCGTGTCATATCAAGCAGATCTTCACACATCCGAATTTGGAACTAAATCCTGAGTTTAATCCAAAGATCAAAGATTATTACTCTGAAGTCCCATTTGATGTGGTAACAGTGACAATTGGAGTGGAGACTCCTAAGTGTCAGTGCAAGGTGCACCTGTATGAGCAGGCAGGGCCAAGGTATGAGGATGTTGCCTGGGGCTTTGTTGAGACACCATACTGGAAAGCAGACATTTGATGCAAATTTTGGAAGTGGTTCAGAAAAGCTGATTCATAAGATCAGTTGAAAGATTCCCAGTTGAACTTTCCCCTTCTCAGGTTTTTTGTTGTTTTGTTTTGTTTTTAAAGATTGGCAATCTTTGCAGCTCATCTTTGTAACAATAGTTTAACAAGAAATGACCTTGTTGCATGAAATATAGAGAAGATCAATTAAGGAAAAATTTCACTTATTATTGTTATGTTTTAAGATTCATGTTTTAAGATTGTTGAAGACATCAAGTTTTTTAATATTCAAAAAGTGATTGCTTAAACCTATTGGAGCACGATTTGCGGAGACAGTACCACTAACTTTCCTAAGTTTCACTGACTTTTTTTTCCTATTGATCTTTTAAAAGTCAGTAACTCTTTCATTCATAATTTTGAACAGAAGATAGAACCTTATTCTGTACTGTATCCATTGCAAAGAAGATACCCATGGTTCCATGCTGTAGGGAAAGAAATGCACTTGGAACCCTTAGGAGCCAAGTCTAGTAGAAAGAAAGGATTCAAGTCGGGACAACCTGGGTTCCCAACCATGACTCTTCTATGTGACTTTGAATGATGTGTTTACCAGTTCTAGGTCATGATCTCTATATTTAAAATGGGGACAATCATAGTTGTATTAAATGAGACAATGTTGACCTTGGAATATGTCTAATAAATATTAGTTTCCTTCTCTTTATGGAAGATATAACTTGCTCTGCAAGAAGACTCTTGGCGTAGTAAAGTACTGTGAGAGAGATGTTTATTTGTTTTCCTATTTTAGGTTTCTTATGAAATTGTATAGACCTTTCTGTTATATATTCAAATAGGCAATTAATAAATACATACGAATCAGTTTGGGCTGAGTAAATCTCCCCTATTCATAGTCTCTCTCTTTCTCGCTCCCTCTTTCTCTCCAGTTTTGCCAGCTACCCTTTGGGCTTAGGAATGAATAAAATCTCAATATTTGTAGTGGATGAATCTCCAGCACACAGTGAGACCCTGATCACATACAAACTCACCATCTATAGAGAAGACCGCCCAAGTCTGCCCTTGTTTGAGGCCTTCACAGCATGTGGTTTTGTGCAGGTAAGTGAAGTTTACATTTGCACTTGGGTTGAATTGGGAATGATCTGTTAACCTGGGTGAAAAGTGCCAAATGAAAATTATTTCAAGAAATTGTATGCTTTGAAATTGAAATTGTGGTCTCATTTCAAAAGAGTGAGAATCCCAGCCAGGTATCTAAGGCACCTCATTGTGAGTGATTTTCTTTATAGTGTGCTCATTGTGTTCATTGTGTTCAGTGGACTTATTGTGGTTAATGTTCAAAAACATGTGAGGACTCACACTTAGTTGTGTAATCGGTTTCACATTTTCCTTTTAAACTGGGCTATTTTTCTTGGATTTGTCCCTGGATCTACTTTTGAAATTTTAAACTAGATTTAGTAGAATTTACTTTAAAGAATAAGAGGAAAATTTATGGAACTATTTTACAGAAAGCATATTGGATAAATGAAACTAAATTTGCTTGGGATAGATATATTTCTCATTCACTTCTCATGCAGTCATCGTATCACAAGGCTGTAGTTTCTCTTGTGAGCAAAATGTACTATTTTTTAACCTGTTCATTTTGGAGAAGGGTGAATGTTGCCCTACCACTTTTGTTCTACGGTTTTTCCCAATTTTTTTCTCTTTTGAGAATCCTATGTATAGTCTTCTACATTTCCTCATATTGTATACCGCTTACTACAGGTGATTCCAAGGAAGTAGTAACTGGTATTTTTATCACATATCTACTAATTCTCTAAGAAAGTGTACTTGCTAATATATCATGTCAAATTACATATTACTATGAGCTTTGAAGTATAGATGGTTAGTAAAAGAGAGGTATTGCTGACGGGGCCTTGGTAGGTACTATGGTTACCATGTTTTTTAATGTAACAGCCAGACCCAGTAATCACCTCGCCACTGTCTTATCTGTTTCCAAGAGCTTTAAAAATCTCAGGGATAGGCATAATTTTTATTTTTTAAGGAAATCATATCACTAATTTATGAATTACTACTAAACCAAATTGAATTTCACATCTGAAGATTCATTCAAAAAAAGATGAAGATGTTATTCTCAAAGATATTAATAGGCATACTTAAAACGAGTAGAGTAGAGTTTCATGGTCAAATAAACCCATTGGTTGATGAAGCAATGAGGTAAACAAAGTTAAGTAGGTGTCTTTACTATAGGATTTCTCTGAACCTCTAATATAATAATTTAAATGGTGGTTCATTTATAGTATGGAAAAAATATATATTTCACTTATATGATGTTCAAGAATAAGCAGAAGCAAACTGTGTTTATAGAAGTCAGAATAGCAGTTACCCAGAAGGTATGGGTACCACTAAGCATGAGGGAATGTTTTGGGCAAATGTCCAACATCAAACTTATCTGATGTGCTTTTTAATAGAATAGCTATCAATATTTTTTGTGGGAAACATGTGAGGAAACACTGGTCTAAACTATGGAGAAGACTTTAAAATATGTTCCTCTCAAGTTTTGACCTTTCAATTTGCTTTATTTGCATTGCTGTCTCAATCTGCTTCTGAATTGAAGAACAAGTAATATAGCCGCACCAAGTGTTTAAAAAATAAACAAAAATCTAGAGGGAGGTGTGCTTTTGTCTATTCGTGTATGTTTATGTGTGTGTAGTCATTTCTAAACTAAATATTCTTAACCTTTTTGGTGGAGCATTTTTTTTTCTTTCATTGCTGGTGGGAGTGTGAAATGTTCGACCACTTTGGAGAACTTTGGCAGTATCCACTAAAGCTAAATACATATAAATGACTCAGCAATCCTTCTAGCTATATACCTAAGACAAATGAAGTCATATGCCCATAAAAAGACACACATACACAAAATACTCAAATTGGTTTTATTCACGGTAGCTAACAGCTGAAAATAATTCAGTAAGAAAGGAAACAAATACAATATTATACTATTAGGGCACAAAAATTAAATGAACTACAGATATGCACAAATATGGAAGAATCTTCAAAACCTTACGTTGATTAAAAACAAGCCAGACATCAATAATGAATGCTGAGAAGGATGTGGAGAAGAGGAAACCCTTGTACTCTGTTGGTGGGAAAGTAAATTAGTACAGCCACTATGGTGAACAGCATCAAAGTTTCTCACGAAACTAAAAATAGAACTAGGGTATAATCCAGCAATCCCACTGCTGAGTATATTTCCAAAATAAAGGAAATCATTATATTGAAGAGATATCTGTAATATATCCCGTTTGTTGCAGTGTTATTCATAGTAGCCAAGATATGGAATCAACCTAAGTGTCTGTCAATGGATGAATGGATAAAGAAAATGTGATACATGTATACAGTGGTGTATTACTCAGCCATAAAAATGAAATCCTGTCATTTGCAATAGGACGGATGGAACTGGAGGACATTACATTAAGTGAAATAAGTCAGAAACAGAAAGACAAATATCACATGCTCTCAGTCATATGTGGGAGCCGAAGACAAGTGGATATCAGGAGATAAAGAGTAGATTGATGGTTAGCCACAGACTAAGTAGGGCAGTGGAGAGGGTGGGATGAAGAGTGGTTGTTAATGGGCACAAAAACACAAATGGAGGGAGTAAGGTCTAATGTTCAATAGCATAACAGGGCAACTATAGTTAGCAATAATTTATTATATATTTCAAAATAACTAGAAGAGTGGAATTGGAATATTCCTACCACAAAGAAATGATAAATACTTGATAAATGATAAATGATAGATATCCCAATTACTCTGATTTGATCATTGCACATTGTACACTTATATCAAAATATCACATGTATGCCATAAATATGTACAATTATTATGTAATCACAACAATTAAAATAAAAAAATGAAAGAAGACAGACACATAAAGAAATACTGTATTTCACTTATATGAAGTTCAAGAATAAGCAAAACTCATCTATGTTTATAGAGGTTAGAAGAGCAGGTACCTAGAAGGTGTGGCACCACTAAGCATGAGGGAACTTTTTGGGCAAATGTCCTTATCTTAATCTGGGTGACAGTTACATATATAACTAGGTGCTATCTAGATAGATAAAAATTTAATTAACTGTGAACTTAAGATTTTTGCAATTTACTGTTTAAAATTATATAACATATCAAATACACATGTATATTTGTGTGTGTGTGTATATATATATAAATTATGTATACTGCCTATAAATTATACCTCAATAAAGTAAGAAAAATGATTAGTGTGAAAGTATGTATTCCTATCTTCCATGACATGTTTCTCCAATGTTGTATTGATCAGAAACAAGTTAATTATCATGCCATGAACTTAAAGAATAGATTATGTCAGAAAAATGTTACTATAATATCAAGAAAAATATTAGAAAATTCTTGTGGGATGAATCCTACAGACGATTGCAGAAAGGTATGTTGGTACTTTATAAGAATCTTTTCCACAAGGTCTTAATTTAAAGTTTATGTGTGGTCCCACAGTAAGTATTGTATTTTATAACATGGAAAATTGTCTGATAAGCACTAGTATTTTTTAGAAAGTGTCAAATTAGTGAACAGAAAAATGTGGCATGAATAATGTGGACTGCTTTAGACACTTAACTAGGCACAAGTGGCTTCATGAGTTGGGGGAAGTCATCAGCAGGGGTAAAATTTTCTCACCATCCACTTAAAATTTTAACTCACAGACTTTTCTCTTATTTCTCTTTTATATTTAATCTCATTAGGGTCTTTGGGTTTCACAGCAAGCTGATACCATCACAAAGGTTAAAATACAAATAAAAAGTGATGGATAAAATTTCTAATCTTCTATCAATTCTCAAGTATTTGAGAATTTCTAAATTAATAGCTAAGCAGATATACATCATGAGCCTTACAAATTTTTAGTTTTCCAAGCTGTTCTTTCTTTTTTTCTTTTTCTGTCAACAGCCACAGTGTCCTCACTGTGTAGGGCTGAAATCTAGAGTCAAACTATTACAGAATAACTGTTTCATTTGAATCTCCAAAGCCTATGCAGGCAAATCTAAAAGAAAATGAATTAAACATTTATTATATTTTATTTATGGGTCAAGGGGAAAAAATTACAATTTCTCCCTACATTGCAAGTTAGATTTTGGTCTAATGAACTCCATTCTTAAATTTTAAATAAACATTGTCTTAATCTATTTGTGCTGCTCTAACAAAATACTCGAGACTAGGCAGTTTATAGAGAACAAAAGCTTATTTCCTTTAGTTCTGGTGGGTGAGAAGTCGAAAATCAAGGCACTGGCATTTGGTGGTGTCTGGTGAGGTTCTTTGTGCTGCATCTTCACATGGTGGAAGGAAGAAAATGAGCAAAAAGGGAAAATTCTATGTCCTCACATGGGGAAAGATTCAAAGGGCAGCGAAAGGGTCTAAATTAGTTCTCTCCAGCACTTTTATAATTAGTGCCCTCATAAATGACACTAATCCATTTATGAGGGTGGAAATCTCATGATTTAATCACATCCTAAAAATCTACACCTCTTAATACCATCACAATGGGGATTAAGTTTCAACGCAAGAATTTTGGGGACATTCAAACTACAGCAAACTTAAAAGGCTATCTACCTCCAAATAACCAAAAAAGAAGAAACCAGTTTAAGATTAATCAAGCCTCCTAATTTCTCCTTTCCCCATTCTCTTACCTTCTGAGCATCAACTCTGCATGTTACCGTTTTGCCAAAGGACTAACATGGCAAAGTAGGCAAACGTAAACTGATACCAGTCAGTTAAAAAATCAGTTACAATAACATTTTAATGAATAGTAAGACAATTTGATTAACTTGTTAATAGACATTTTATCAAACATTGTTAAGTACCTACTTAGCCATAATGAACTCTTTGAGTTTATTTAATGTTTATATTTTAATTCTTCTTATGCTAATTAGAATTTGTATATGATTGTCCAAGAGGCAGCTTTTAGTTGAGTTAGCTCTTAGTTTAGTTATTACCAGTGAAGGAGAGTTAATTTACATGACATATCACCAGATTGGGACTAGACTTTCTCAATCTCAGCCCTGTTGACATTT